CACCACCTGGACCGACGCCAGATGTTGATGCGGTACCTTTTGTATCCAATTCGCCACACCCCGTTTGATGCTACTCACTTTGAGGCTGGATTGGCGATATGGTCTGTGACGAGTGTGAATATTGCGAGATGGTGGGGCGTGTACAGCCGGTGTGGAGTATGTGGAATATGGGGAGTGTGAAGGGTGTGACGAGTGTGGTGTGTGTATGAGTGTGAAGAATGTAAGAAGTGTGGACAGTGTGGGGATTTGGTTGAGTGTGGAGAGTGTGTTTAGCATGGGTAGTGGTGAAAGCGTGAAAGGTGTGATAAATGTGAGTATTATGGTGAGCAAAAGGAGTATGAGGAGGTTGTGTGACCAGTGTCGGTTGTGCTTACAGTGTGAAAAGTAGGTGTATTGCGTGAAGTGTGAGGGGTATGAGCAGGTTAAATAGTGTAGTTAGTGTGTAGAATATGGGGAGTGTGAAGGGTGTGGCGAGTGTGGTGTTGTAAAGGTGTGAGGAGTGTAAGAAGTGCGGACAGTGTGGGGATTTGGTTGAGTGTGGAGAGTGTGTTTAGCATGGGTAGTGGTGAAAGCGTGAAAGGTGTGATAAATGTGAGTATTATGGTGAGCAAAAGGAGTATGAGGAGGTTGTGTGACCAGTGTCGGTTGTGCTTACAGTGTGAAAAGTAGGTGTATTGTGTGAAGTGTGAGGGGTATGAGGAGGTTAAGTAGTGTAGTTGGTGTGTGGAGTGTGTGGAATATGGGGAGTGTGAAGGGTGTGGCGAGTGTGGTGTGTGTAAATGTGTGAGGAATGTAAGAAGTGAGGACAGTGTGGGGATTTGGTTGAGTGTGGAGAGTGTGTTTAGCATGGGTAGTGGTGAAAGCGTGAAAGGTGTGATAAATGTGAGTATTATGGTGAGCAAAAGGAGTATGAGGAGGTTGTGTGACCAGTGTCGGTTGTGCTTACAGTGTGAAAAGTAGGTGTATTGTGTCAAGTGTGAGGGTTATGAGGAGGTTAAGTAGTGTGTAGAGTGTGTGGGGTGTGTAGGGATTGTGGAGAGTTTGAGGGGTGTGTAGAGTGTGTGGGATGTGGGATAGTGTGGGTCACTTTGACTGTGTGCGGAGTGTGGGAGATGGGGGAGGGTGAAATATGTGGAGGGCCCTGGACCCCTTTCTACCGGTGCCTCATTGCCTTTCTTCCTTCTGCCTCCCGACCCCGCCCCCTTTTCGAGTTCTACCAAGAGACCCATGACTACTTCAACTACCAGAGCCCCAAGTTCATGCGAGAGGAGAAGACCGGCTTCCAGCCCAACACCGGCGACTTCGACGTGGCCGAGTGCTACAAAAGCGTCGACTCGGTCGAGGATGTCATCCTGACGCTCGACAGTACGTCTTGCCCATTCCAAGCCCAGCCGCATGCCGCGACTGTGGACTGTCTTCTGGCCTCACAGCACACACTCATCAACCCCATTCTATTTCACACACACACACAAACACAAACACAGGCACCACCGTTTCTGATAACCTTGCATGACACGATGCCATTTGAGTGGTTTTTCCGCTTCAAAAGACACCTCGACTGGAGGGGACTCGAGCTTGGGACTGATGGAAAAGCAAAAAAGCCAAACAGACTTATCGCAGATGCTTAGTCTGGTTCGCCGCCTTCAACAGTCTCAAGGTCTGGAATGCACAATTCATAAAAATAACATCAAAATCGGCTTAAATCTCACTTTTGCGATCTTTCCGAGGCAAGCAGCTCTTCATGCTAATCTATCGCACACTCCTCCATCGGTTTCCGATGAGGCCAACATACCAATCAACCAAAAAAAGGCTTTTCCTCACAATAAAATGATCAGCGACATTTGATTTTTCAGCGAGTCTCACAACTTCACAAGATGCAAGTTGCCATCGCGTTGGCATCGAAAGTTTATCAAGTCGAGTTACGTTGTTTCGTTAAGACCTGTCTGCTTGATTCGACCGAGTCCTG